ATACACACAGATACAACATGTCTTCTGCTAAGGAGTCTACAAAGTAAACGTCCATGTAGTTCGATCGATTTTCCAAACCACATTGTGAAAGGAAACGAAACAAACAGATGAAGATATTCTATCAAATCAAGTTCCAGGAAAAGCCAAGTTTGAAAAACTGCCTCTGAATATTTGGAACAACTTGGATAGATGAGACCAAAGTTCACAGTGTCATGTTTGGAGACGTCATGACAACCAACATCTCAATTCTAACTGCTGAGCACAGTGGAGGAGGACTGGTGATGTGGGATTGTTTTTAGAGATGTCTTCTACGAGGACTGAACCGTTTTCAGCCATTAAACCAACCATGAACCTTTCTGTGCGTCAGAGAATCCTGAATGTGAAAATGTCTCTGAAACTGAAGCTTCAGCCAAACCGGGTCATGATGTGACGTCACTGGTCCATAAACATGAGATGATTAAGATTCCCACAGTGGACAAGAAGGTACGCAGTTTAAATGTAAAGGAGAAAAATAAACTGAGGACTGCACAGTGGCGCAGTTGGTAGAGCCAGGTGTGACTGTGTGTGTGTGTGTGTGTGCGCGTGCATGGTGACCCCGCCTCTCGCCCAGGACGTTAGATGGAGAGGCAGCAGCAATAAGGGACAAGGGTGTATAGAAAATGGATGGATGGAAAACAAACCGAAACCAAAATGATGATATGAAAAACGAGTTATTTAACAAAGTGTCTGTGAGGAAAAAGGAAAATATGAACTTAAAATTATTACTTTTGGTTAATCAAATGTTAATAAAACTCTACAGATTTCCTGTTTCATAATTAATAAACAGAAATGAGGGACAGAGAAGAGTTTTAACAAATGGTCCAGGCAGGTTTTGAACCTGAGACGGTCCAGTCAAAGTCTCTCAGCCTCAGTTTACAGGTGAGTTTGATCAACATAAAGAACTAAAATTAGAAACCTTACATTTCATAGACTTAATTATTAGATTATTTCTTCAAGAAAACAGCTGCTACTGTATTTCACTGATAAACGTCAAGATTTTTTTATTAGTTATTAATTGCAGCTACATGTATTTATATAAAACTAAGTGTTTCGTTCTCTGACAAGTTTAGAAAAGAGGAAGAACTTGCAATCATTTCCTGTCACTTTAGATTTCCTGAGAGCTAAAGATGGTGCAGATGTGTCACAACTGTTCTTATGTAACAAAACTGTTCCAGTTTTCCACCCATTAAAAGTACATCGAGTGATTTGATGTTTTTTCTCCAAACTCCATAGGAAATGTGTTTGTGTTGATACTCACATATTGATGATTTTCATTGGTTGAATCTTGATTTTCTGAATCAAAAGAAAACAATCATTTATTATCATTGTTTTATTTTTAACCACTGTTGCTTCACTGCTCTGTGGTAACTATGGAAACGGTTCTTCCTCATTCTGAGAAACGTCTTTCTCAGAGTTGGATGTCAGAAGGGAAATAAAACTGAAAATATCTGCAGCTCTTTGAACTCAGAGAAATTCACATGGAAGATGTCCAGTTTGCCAGAACAACTAATAACTAACTGAACCACCTTCATCATATTGGAAACACACAGCAGTCAGTATGCTGCCTTCAGCTGAAAGTGCTTATAGAGTTGACTCCACTTGGATAATAATGGGGATTTCACCCTGAGCTCCAAACCTGTTTGTTTTCTTTACATCCTGCAAACTCAGTGTGGAGGAAAGAGCTAAGAACAGGAAGTTCAGCTTATTGCTGTGTGAGGCTTCACAGGTAACTGCGCTCAAATCTCAGTTTGGTTAGACTTTGACTATGCCATCCTGACACTTACTTCGACGTAATAAAATATTTGCAAGACAACACATGCCCAGGAGCCTGTTGCTATAATCCAGGCCTGATTTTACAGCTGATGAAAACGTGACGATCAAGAAAAAAAAAAAAGGTTTTGCCCACTATGATAATCTTGAAGTTTTAGAATAACTTTGCGTCTTCATCCAAATAAAGCAGCTTATTTAAAAGGAAGTCTGGATGCTGCAGCCTTTCTGAGTGACTGATGGTTCATCCATTCAGACCGTTTTAGACTTTTTGTTCCTGCAGAACATCAAGAAGAACCTTCAGCCAACAGGAACGTTCACCATCAGATCAACGGAGGGATCAAACCCCCACACCTCTTCCACAACCACCACATAGCTGGGTTAACACACCTTTAGAGGGACAGTATTATGTCTCTGCAGCTCTGAGGAGGAGCTGAGACGTGAAGGCGGAGCTAGGTCCAACCAGGCGTTTTGCACAGCTGAATGGTTCTTAAACATGCATGAAAGCATCAAGGCAGCACACCAGGTATGTTTTAATGAAGGAATAACATTATAACATAATGTAAAACTCCAAAAAGTCGATTTTCCATAATACTGCCTCTGGAAGTGAAAACATCTCTGACTGCAGATTAAGACGATGTTTTAGAGAACCACTGGTGTCTGGATTCCTCCTCTAACACAGAAGATTTAAATAGAAAGCTGATCATCACATGTTGGCACACTCGACAATATCAGATTTAAAATTTTTCATTGAAAGCTAATTCACACTAATAAAGACGTGTTTTTAAATAACGTTTTGTCTGTACTTGAAGCTTCTAGTGAAATAAACTCAGCACCTGTTGTGGTTTTGTGATCCTCTTTATTTCTGGTTTTCCTGAGTTTGATGAAAACAGCAGCAAGAACAACCAGCAGCAGCAGAACGCCGATCACTGATCCGAGGATGATGAGGATGAGGATGGTGGAGGTACTGGTGTTACCAGGAGCTGCTGTTAAAAGATTCAGATTACAAATCATCCAATAGATAATATATGCTGGTCTTAAAAAGATATCACTAGATTTCAATAGGCATTAATGTAATCACACACTTTACTCAACTTTGGATTCATAAGATGACATCATACCTTCATGTTGGTAGTGAGCTTCTACCTTCACTTTGTTTCCTCCAAAAAACTGGCAGGTGAATCTTCTGCTGCTCTGAAGATTCACAGTGAGAAAAGAAACACAACCAAACTGTCCTCCTGATTTATATCCATCACCTTCACCAGTCAGTTCACTTCCTGTCTCATCCAACCAGAGGAGACTTTTAACTAGACAAGAACCTGAAGAACTGAATCTCCACAGAGAACAGNGTGTGGCCTATGTAGTCTTGGTGGCTTCTATCGGTGTGGCAATGAATGACAAGGAGCTGCTCAAGTTGGCATCAGCTGTTTCTTTAATTCTCCATCTGCATTTCACAGAACGGGCATGGAGGTAAGGTCAGTCTCTGGCATAAAACAAGCTCCTCGTCAGTGATCCTCATGGCTCTGAGGATTACCCATAATACCGTAACCACAATAAAATAATTTAAAATTACAGTGATCGTATAGTGGATTTTGTTTTACAATAAAAGGACAACCAGTGAGTCTCCTTTTCAGAGAAAATAAAGTAACTAATTAAAATGTTCTGAAAAATAAAATGCTGACATTTTATTTACTGGATGCCATTTTTATGTTTTAGTTGATATACATTGCATTTTAGAACAATGCAGAAACATAAATGAACCATATCTTTATATAAAACTGTTAATATAAAACTCAGTGTCATGCTAACCATCTGCTACAGGAGATTTGGTAAAACATACCTGCATTTCACAGAACGGGCATGGAGGTAAGGTCAGTCTCTGGTATAATACAAGCTCCTCGTCGGTGATCCTCATGGCTCTGAGGATTACCCATAATACAGTAACCACAATAAAATTATTGAAAATGACAGTGATCACAGTGGATTTTGTTTACAATAAAGAAAGAACCAGTGAGTGACTTTTCAGAGAAAATAAAGCAATTAATTAAAATGCTCTGAAAAATTAAATAAAATGCTGACATTTTATTTACTGGATGCCATTTTAAAACAATGCAAAAAACAAATTAACCATATCTTTATATAAAACTGTTTATATAAAACTCAGCCTTATGTTAACCATTTGCTACAAGAGATTTGGTAAAACATACCTGCATTTCACACAATGGACATCGAGGTAAGGTCAGTCTCTGGCATAAAACAAGCTCCTGCAAGGAGGAGCCATAATGCTACCGCATGGGAAATTCCCA